TTTCGCCAATGACGTATGAATCTAATGTTCAGACATGTTAGTGTGCATGTTTTTGTTGACTACTTTTCTTGTGCAGTCTCTGGGGTGGTTCTGTTCTCAATTTGGGGACAAAGAAGCATAGGGATAAGTACTTTGATGGGATTGATAACTTGGACTATCCCGGTTGTTTTGCTATGACTGAGCTTCAACATGGTAATGTCATCTTTTTTTAAGTTGGTCAAGCTTTTTAATATGGTAATTGTGAGCTTGGTTTTTTTATCCTATTGGTTTGGTTAGTGTCAGTGACTCGCGATGATGGAGTGAACTTATGGGTGACACTGTTGAACTCTGTAACTCGTAGTAAATAATTGTAGACGTCAATTAAGCGTAGAGAGGCTTGATTGGTTTGAAAGAAGGTTTTTGTGTTTACAAATGATTATAAAATGTTTACAACAATTTGTGGGGAAACATAATGCCAAGGGATTTCTACAGAAGCAGCGATAACAGGGATATTGTTTACTCCTAATCATATCTTTAAAACCAAGTAATAAAAGTGAAAGTAATATGACATTTTGTAATTATCCGTGGAAATAAGAAATAAAAATATAAACTGGTAATTGTAAATATCACTGAAACCTATCTGATATACTCTAACAAACGGCAGCTTTCATTTATGCTCAATTGCAAGTAAAGTGAGTTCAAGACTTTAACCAACAACCTTACTTCCTTTGTTAGATTGTTTTCCATTCCCAACTTATCTTCAAGTTAAATTACTTTTAGGTTGTGATTTTTTTTTCCTTTTGGATTTTTATCTCTATTGTGTTTTAACTCAAACATGCTACCACATAGTGTTTCCCCAGTTACACACTTCTAAACTGCTTACCTTTTTGTGCTTTTAAAAGGTTCAAATGTGCAGGGCCTCCAAACTGTTGCCACCTTTGATATAATCACTGATGAATTTATCATTGATACACCAAATGATGGTGCCATAAAATGGTGGATTGGCAATGCTGCAGTGCATGGAAAGTTTGCCACTGTTTTTGCTAGGCTGAAATTACCCACTTATGACACCAAAGGAGTTACTGATATGGGTGTCCATGCTTTCATAGTTCCAATAAGAGATATGAAGACCCATCAACCACTCCCTGGAATTGAGATACATGATTGTGGCCATAAAGTTGGCCTCAATGGTGTGGATAATGGAGCATTGAGATTCCGCTCGGTAAGAATTCCTCGAGACAATCTTCTTAACCGTTTTGGAGATGTCTCCCGTGATGGAAAGTACACGAGTAGTCTTCCTACAGTAAATAAGCGATTTGCTGCAACTCTAGGTGAACTTGTTGGTGGTAGGGTAGGCCTTGCATATTCTTCAGTTAGTGTCTTGAAGGTTGCTGCCACAATTGCCATCAGATATTCTCTACTTCGTCAGCAATTTGGACCTCCAAACCAACCTGAAGTCAGCATTCTTGATTACCAGTCTCAACAGCACAAGCTTATGCCAATGCTTGCTTCGACATATGCTTTTCATTTTGCAACAACAACTTTAGTGGAGAAATACTCTCAAATGAAAAAAACTCATGATGAAGAATTAGTTGCAGATGTCCATGCTCTATCAGCTGGTCTAAAGGCTTATGTAACATCCTATACTGCAAAGTCACTCAGCATCTGTAGGGAGGCCTGTGGAGGTCATGGTTATGCTGCTGTAAACCGGTTTGGTATTCTGAGGAATGATCATGACATTTTTCAGACATTTGAAGGAGACAACACAGTTCTGCTTCAACAGGTTTGTTGCTAAACCCTAACTATATCACTTTTCATATATAATAACCCCCTTACCTTTATAACCAGGTTTGTTGGTATGTTATTAATCAGATAACCAACATAATACAGGAAAGAATGACCTTATATTTCATTCATTCAAATCTGTGACTATATTTGCACTCTTCTGCACCTTGGTGTAGACCGTAGGGAATTATGAACAAAGCTGCATTGAAATTTTGCTCAAATACCAGAACAATAAGTAAAGGCAAGTTGCAGCTGGTAGGGCCTTATTTTCTCTCAGATAATGACCAGTCATATTAAATAGGCTGTTGATATGTTTTAATCAGATAGCCTAGATAATATACGAAGAATGGCCTCAGAGCTCAGTCATTTAAATCCGTGACTGCGTTTGATGCTTCCTTATAGGAAACATTTACATTCTTGTACACCATAGTGTACAATATAGAGGATAGTGAATTAGAAGACCCCAAAAAAATATAAATCTGTCTGAGGTGCAAATAGATAGGAAATTTGGTAATATTATACTGGAAGAAAGAGAAATATCATAAAGGATGTTGAGGAGACAGAGAAAGCCTATAATTAGTTATTAAGTTGGTTATGCGAGAGTGGGATAGTGGGTAATGGATATATATCATGGGAAACTGCCAGGAAAGGTAGGAAAAAGGTGGGCAAGGATTTTCAGGAGAGAATAGGCACTCTTTAACTGTCTATCATTTTAATTTTCCTTTTGTATTGTCATCTGCAATTTTCCTTTGATCAGATCTTGTATCACTTTGCAACAGATATCAATTCAGTTATAATACAGTGAATTTCCAGTGTTCTTGTTTTTTTTTTTTTTTTTGTACTTATTGTACTTGGGGAAGCCACCCTCAAAAGCTAGCTATTACCAACGAAGAACAAATAAATGGGTTTAACATCTTCCCAAGGGAGGGTACAAGTTCATAATTAAAACCATGTTTAACCTTTATTTGATAGCAACTGTACTTTACATCTTTAGGGCCATGCACTATGCATTTTGTTTGTTTTGCTGTTCTTGTATTGGAAACAGGTTAACTAATAGGTATGAATTTTTTCCTTTACAAATGAAGGTTGCAGCTGATCTTTTAAAACAATACAAGGGAAAGTTCAAAGGAGGAACTTTCGCAGTGACATGGAATTACTTGAGAGAATCCATGAATACTTATCTGTCACAGCCAAATCCAGTTACTGCTCGGTGGGAAGGCGAAGATCATTTAAGAGATCCTAAATTTCAATTGGATGCTTTCAGAGTGAGTTTTATTTTGATTCATTGACCAGTGACTAAATATTGTTTATGCTGTCACTAATAAATCAACAATTCATTTTGATTTTCATTCTCCAGTATCGAACATCTAGATTACTTCAAAGTGTTGCTGTACGACTTCGAAAGCATTCTAAATCCCTTGGGGACTTTGGTGCATGGAATAGATGTTTAAATCACCTTTTGACACTTGCAGAGTCACATATTGAATCAGTCATCCTTGCTAAATTCATTGAAGCCGTGCAGAGGTGCTTTGTAGTTCCTTGCACTTGTGTATTCTCATTTTATACTTAATTTTGTGATTTTTATCCAATTTTAACTTGACCTATATATGCTCCAGCTGTCCAGATCCAAGCTCACAAGCTGCTCTGAAGCTTGTCTGTGATCTTTACGCTCTAGATCGAATATGGAATGACATTGGAACGTACCGAAATGTGGACTATGTGGCTCCTAACAAAGCCAAGGTATGGAAACATATTATTGAAATAAATTTGGTATATAATATTTTGAACAAAAAAAAAAAAATGCACGAGTGAATACAAAAATTAATGAGCTTTTTCTAGTTTTCCTAACAGCTCAGAAACCCTTAGTTACCAATGGGGTAATAGCTACGACGAGGGACCATTCTAAAAACCCAAGAATAACTATTAAAAACCTACATGAGATAGTACTAGGCCTGCGAGGGACAATTATGAATTGCTTTCATGAAAATTTGGATAACTTAGATGAGATAGTACTAGGCCTGCGAGGGAAAATTATGAATGGCTTTCAAGAAATTTTGGATAACTTGGTTAAGACACACTGAATGAAATTTTTATCCAAGGGACAATGTCTCTCATTGTTGAACTACGTATGCATTTCTTTAGCTTCATTTCGTACCCATGAGAAATTTCAAGATCCAGGAAAATATGATTTGATAGATGAAAATTTCATATTCATACACTATTTTTTCCTCGCGACAAAACATAAATCTATAATGAGCATGAGTTGGCTTCTGAAACTCTTGTTTTGGCAATCACTTTTAAACCTTAAGAAGATAACAGTAGTACAGTTTATCTGAGATGAGGATTTACATGTTGGACCTTACCTTGTTTTACATGATAATCTTATTGAATAATTAAGTTATTTCGCAGGCAATCCACAAACTTTCAGAGTATCTTAGTTTCCAAGTGAGGAATATTGCAAGGGAACTTGTTGATGCGTTTGATCTTCCGGATCATGTTACACGGGCCCCTATTGCCATGCGGTCAGGAGCTTACTCGCAGTACACACAACATGTGGGATTTTAATGACACACGACGCAAACAATATTCATGTGTTTAACAAAAAGGACGCAAAGGACGTCCAATATGTGGCCCAGTGTTAAAATTGCGTTTACCAGGGGTTGCACCTGACCAAGAAACCACCACACTATAGCAGAACCATAACTGGAGGGTGATACAAAGAAGTTCCAGTTGAAGATTAGATTATCTTTGGAAAATAGAAAATCGTTTGTATAAATGATTTACCAAGTTCTTTCTTTTCATTTTTTGGAAGCCGAAACAATGATTGGTTATTTGCTCAGCTTCTGCATATAATGAAAAATGGTATTTATCTTGTGGCAAAATATTAACATATGTAAAAAATGTTAATTTATAATAATTAAATCCAAAGTACACCAAAGTACTGAGAATTTAATCAAAATTAACCTTTGCTTCTCTCATGCCAACGGGCGCTGTTTTAATGATCAACATACACGTAAAAGATGTAAATGAACAACAGTGTCTCGAACACACCACCAGCGATGTAACAGAAGTTTATACTAACCAGCTTGTTTACAGACACCTACACCCCGTTTTTCATGTCAAATTTCTTTCCAACAAGGACCATAATCATATGTTCATAGTTCTTTGGATGTTTTTCTTATGTAATAAATTAATGTCAAGCAGGCACAGAAAAAGAATTTTCATATACTTGAGAATTAAACTTTTTCAGCCCTGATAGTTCTGCAATTATGATATGCATTTCGAGCTGCTTCACTTTTTTGCCTGATATCTTCATACATTTTCAATGATGCCTCAGAAAATTTGGTAAGTCGATCAAGAACCTTGGTTACTCTTGCATGAATGCAGCTCAAATTTGCAGACTCATCTTCATTCTCTTCATTAGTTTTGCTCTCGGTTTCTGCAGTTCTAGCATTAGCAGAATTCTGTTTCTTGAGAAGTTGTTCATTCTGGTGCTCCGTCCGCAGGTGAAGATCAGACAAAAAGTTTATGATTGCCTGACTTAGCTCCTCAGAGGGTAAAGCCTTGATCCCAGCAGACCAGTCACGACAGAGAACAAATATAGGCGGTGCCAGAACTCGGCGAGGGGAGAACGGTCTTCTGCTCTTGGAACGCTCCCTTGGTAGCAGTATACAGTTTTGTAGCCATGCATTGAGAGCTTCCACATATGAAGTGAGGCTGTTAATCCAGTTGACAAAACTCAAACCAAAGAACTCAACTTCTTCTAGCAGCCGAGTCATTATCTCTCGGCGCACGTCTCCTTGCAAGGTTCCTGTTGAGCTCCTTGAATGATATGCCAAGGAGATGGTGATGTACTGTGCATGATGACATTCAAGCATAGCCTTCCACATTCTGATCAATCTGCACAACCAAAAGTTTCACAAATCATTCATCATTATAGGCAATAATAACATAAACGTAAAATCCAGAACCTCTCTCTTACCCTTCTGTTAATTCTGAAAGTTGTGGGAGCAATTCTTCATCTCTCATTCTCTCAATTCTTTTAGATATTGAATCAACAGAATATATAGCCACTCTTAACCGTGAATGCAGATCCTTCACAACTGACCGGGTCTTGTCAATCGCATGAGTGCCTTGATCTTTTGCAAATTGATGCCTTAGCTTGTGACATTTTCGATCATATTCCTTCATGATGGATTCACTAGCCTACAGACAGTCAATAAGTGATCAAAAGTATCAAGGATCAAACACACTAAATTTGGAGGTGCAGTACATTTTACAAAGGTACACATTGATGATAAAATAGTACGTCGCGTCCCTTTGAAAGGAATAAAATTTGGAGAGAAAGGACTGAAGGCATAGCTCGGCTAGTATTTTCAACTTTCTAGTTTTTTTTTTTCCTTATATGTATCTGTTATTTATTTGTCAAACGGTTCAAGTAACTTACAGGCATCACTTACTTTGATTATTGTTGACAAATTGCATGAACCCATACGAGAGTTTGAATTTAAGTAGTGAGGCATTATTGAAGGAAAAATTCACTAAGCTTTGATAAAAATGGGGCATGCAGTAATTTACTGCTACAAAAGTTTGACAACGTTATTTTCATTTTCTACACCAGATTCCCTATGAATAATAAGTGAAAAAAAATCTTCATACAACTTCACTAGTATCTATAACAGCATAACATACATAACAAATTAACCCTGGAATGTGAATAAGCATTGCAAATTAGCATGATGTTGGTCATGCATTTTCAAAGACGTTAAGGAGGCATTATCTGCGCAAAGCCCAAGAATTTTGCAAGGACCATGGAATCATAATTTTTCATGTCTTATACCCATTCTTTTTATAACCAGCATCTCAAGGTAACCACAGATTATGATTTCAATGTGGCAACTGCTAAGTCATAAATGTCCAAGGAACTCAGATTTTAGAAGATTATTAAATATCAATTGCTTAATATGTAAATTAGCATACTCATATATCAGACAACGTCAGGTTCATCGATTTAACCCATGCTTTAATTTAAATACTTCATTATTTTCACCATAGTCCCTTGACTTTTTTCATTTCTATGATAATGTAATACCTTTACTTCATCATAGAGTTTTCGCTCCCATGCATATAGTCTGTCAAGAGTGGATGAATGGCTGCCAGCAATCATGCAGAATTCTTCAACAAAGTCACTTGCACTCTCATCAACATCTTCCTTTGTTTTTGCAGCCAAAGCATTCCGGGATGAGGATGATCGAGAAGATGCTGTCCTTTTCCAACTAATAATTTTTTGGGCAGGTTCTGCAGAAAAAGGAGACAAATTAAATCATCCTAAATAATCATCTTTCAAGAATCAAACTTAGACATACAAAGAAACAGTGACCACACAGTTCAATGTTAAGTAAAAAATAGCCAAGAAAATATTTGAGAAATATTGAACTTACAGATAGAGAAATTGGATCGAATACAAAACAATACTGTATACCTCTTTATTTCCAAACCTTGTGACATGGTAAAACCTAGTGTCAACATAGGTTACCTTTACTATACTGCTAACCGTTATTTATGTTGTTTCAGACATAAATTACCTTAATCCAAGATGTAAGAACTACGAAACCATATTCATCACCAAACTTAAAACATTCAGAAAATTGATAATCTAACAGTTTGTGACACGTCCAGAACAGTTTCATTTCATTTGTTAAGAAATGGAGAATCTGACAAGAGCTAATCAAGTATCTAGAAATCTTCAAGAGAGTAACATGGCTAATTCAAAGAAAAAATGGCAAACCCAAATCATGAAGTATGTAATATTTAAGACTAATTTAGTCACAAATCAGAGTCTAATTACAGAATCAGTTCAACTTACCTTGAAAAACAGGTGAAGCATTTCCACCGCAACAAACAGGCTGGAAAGCTGACAGCATAGCCATGGTAGATGATTTCACTATCATAAGAGTCAGCAGCAGATTAGTAATCATAAAGAAGACTAACCAGTTGTATCTTGCCTACTAGAAACAAAATTTACATAATGTATAGCATCCGGAAAACAGAATATGATATTGAGAAATTACCTTTGGCTTCAGAATATCCCACCTTGATTTTGTTTGCTTCTAACAACTTCAAGACCTCCCTACCAGATTCAGAAGCACGAATGAACCGATGCTCTATATCCTTTATGCTAGAGAGAAAATCTTTAGCTCTGTGGGTGATGAACTCTGAAGGATCCTCTCTTTCTGTGCACACATTTTTTCCAGCCATGTTCTTCTCCTTCTTTGAACCGGATCTTCCACCGGCACCCTTGTCTGCAACAGTCCGGCTTACATCACTTGCAGCACTTGGCAACTCTAGCTCTCTCACTTCTCCGTCAACCATTTGTTTGCCACCTTCCACTCCTCTTGAAACAATTGAATGATCAAGGCAGTGTGCATAAGAGCTGTCACACTCATTCCCTGTTGCAGCACTGCTTAAGTTTCCAAACTTCTCATCCTGGTTGGGTTGCCTCATGCAATGCCCATCTGAACCAATATGTAGCCATTGGTCACCATTTTCTTCGTCCCTACACTCTCTGGACTCACTACAATGCACTGCAAACCTGAAGCTCTCACTATCCTCCCCAGGATCAAAGAAATCCCAAGATGCACCTGACTCGGGAGGAGGTGGAGGAGGTGGAGGCATTGGAACCACAGAGGATTCATCATCTAAATAATTGATGTTACCACAAGCATTGACTGTAACAGTAACAGCAGCACTACCCCCTGACCTCATGTAACTAAGAGTGGAGGCCAGAGGACTCTCATTGTGCAAAGGTGAATCCGAAACCTCAACCTCAGCAACATGTGAAGGTGATGGAGAAGGGTAACTAGTTTGAGAAGGGGTTTTGTCAGATGTAGACAGAGATGACTCTACCACCTCAGCCTCAGCATACCTGCGAAGAGCAATGCCAATGTTTCGAAGAGATTGAATGTAAGAAACATGTGCAGCTGCTAAAGCATATCTTGAATCAATAGCCACCTTGATGAACCGCTTTCTTTCCCTGCACAAACTCAAGGCTTCATTCTTTTCTGGTCTGGAGTTGGTAGCACCCATTTTCCACCTTATAGCAGATTACATCTATTCACCGAGCATTCATAGAAAAGACTCTATTTTGACACCCCATCACAATCCATTGCTGTTTCTTCAAAGTTACACACCCACAACCTCACACAACATTCCTAGAGGCCCACTTACAAAAAATTAAACAAAATAAATCCAGTGAAGATGAAAACTAAGATATCCTAAGCCTTTAAGTTGACAGCTGGAAAAGCAAGGCCTCCTTGGTCAAAATGTGATCTTTATTATATCTCAGACGGTGGTGAGCAGAGAAACAATGAACACCCATGTTGCATGGTGATACAGAAACTGTAGAAATGAAAGGCCCTAGGGTAGTAGGAAAGGGACAAGACCCCTTGTTAGAGGCAGGTAAGAGGAAAAGGAAGATAATTGCTGGTGGTAAAGTTATTGAGTGAGTTTCTCTTTGACAAAGAAGGAAAGGGGAAACAATGAGGGTAGGTAAAAGTCATCAAAAATCAAACATCAAAGGAAACTTGAAGCCTATCAGTATGTTTGTGGTTTATGATTATATATGGAATAAGCTCGGTTGCAGAGATTCTGCAGAAAAGGTCCGCGTAATGAGCAAGGAGCGTTGTGCAGTGCAGAGATGAAAAAAAAAAGTGGAAAAAGGGAAACAAACAAAAACCGTGAACGATTTCCAGTAATTCTGCAGCAGTTATTACTTACTACTACACTCATTAATCTCGATCTGTGTGTGCGCTTCATTTTTTTACTTTTTCATTTATTGCAATAAAAAAAATAGTGTATATATATAAATATTTTAAAAAATTATTTAACTGTGTTCAAATTAAACGTGAAGTAAATTATATTTTAATAATAATATATAAGAAATTATTTGAAGGATAGGAAGTAATTTTTTAAAACATTTTTAATAATTTATTAATATATATATATATCATATTTGTAGACAATAAATAAATAATTATGTATTTCTTATTAAATTATGAAAATAAACTTCATTATAAAATGCAGTACTGTCACTCCTTTTAAATAATCTAATGTCATACACTTAATTTTATAACTCAGTGTATTTATATAAATTCAAATAAATTTATTACATTTGAAAATATTTTTTTACTAAAAAATATTTTTATATAAATATATTGTATATGATAATAAAAATAAATATTTAATCCATTTAAAATCTTAATTAACATTTTTACTGTTTCATAAAATTTCCAGTAGTCATTATTGTGTTAATTTAAAAATAATATTGTAATATATTATTTAGAAAATTCAGTTTAATACTTATACATTGAAACTGTAAAAATAGTTTTATATTTTATTGGAACGTATATTACTACTATTGCATAATTTTTAAATAGTTATTTTAAAAATAATAAAATTATTATATATAGTAATTAATTGTTAGATGATTTTATAATACTGTTTTACATTGTTAATATGTAATTTAGAAACTGAATATATCATGTTATAGGAAACACTGAATGTTGTATTAGAGGTTATTTTAATTATTTGACTCGTTATTTTACAGTTCTCTTTAATAAGATTGACTTGATAAGTTCAATAATACATGAGATTGGAGATATATATAATTAGATTATAAAACTGAATAAAATTTTATTTAAATTAGAACATACTTTATGATAAAATAAACAATATTAATATAAATATTTAACAAATTTTTTCTTTGAGTTAGAAGTCTTATAGTTAATAATCAAAGGGTATAAGATAGAAAGATCCTAACTCAAATTGAAATGATTGAACTTCAGAACTTATTTAAAAGTAAAAAAAGTTTCAATAAAAACTTAACATGATACTCTATTTAGGACTTGTAACTATAAATAGCAGAACCTTGTAAATAAAAAAGTGTTTATTAATATGAAAAGAAAATAATAGAGGTAAAGTGATAAATTTGTGGTGAGAAAGTCAAAAGAACAACGATGAGATTGATAAAAGTGACAAAGTTGAAACATGAAGCATCACTCTCCATGGAGCAGAAAACAGTTTGCGCAGCACAAACCTGCTCTGCATACTGAAATGGGGGAGACCCAGTACAGAGAGAAACATGAAAAATATTATTTTTTATATTTTTAAATTAATTAAATTATTTAACTTATAAAACTCATAGATCTAGTTATTTTATTAATCTTATAACGATAAGAAATTATTATTAAATATTAAATTTAAATATAAAAATTCAATAACATAATATATCAATTTAATTGTTTCATTAATTTTATGATAATAAAAAATATTTATGAATCTTTATTTATTTCAAACATGAGAAAATATGTAAAATTTAATCAGTCAAACATGGGGAAATCTAACTTACAAAAGTGTAAAAAGGTTTTTTTAATATAATTAATTATAATTTTTGTTTACTTCAATGAAGATATCAATAATACAAAATATATATTTTGTAATAAATATAATTTTTATTTTATATTAATTTATTCTAATACATTTTTTTTATTAGTTTTTATGCTTCTCTACTTTTCATAAATTATTTTAATTTGAATCTAAAATTTAACTATAAAATAATTAAAATAATATTTTATAAAATAATAAAATATTACATTTAACAAATTAAAAACAAATATAATAAATAAATAAATATAAAGTAAAAGATATATTTATTAAAAATATAATTATTTATTTATTCGGTTGTACTTGTTAGTGTTAGTGGAGAAAAAGGGTTGTCAGAAGCACAAATATGCTTGGATTTCGCGAGTCTAGCCAACGGTTCCTTAAAACCCGCTCCTCTTTTTTTAAGGTCACAACGTGTTCATCAGATTGATTATAGTCCTAATATAATTAATAAATGATTTTTTTTTATACATTTCAATATTTTTTTATTTTTTAGAATTTAAATTATTTATATTTTTTGTATAAACCTGAATAAAATAAAAATGATAAAAGAGTTATCTAGCTGGATATAGTGTATGCAAAAGATATTTTATTGAAAGATTTATATTAAAGAGACTAATTATTGACTTTGAATATTGTTATATGTGAAAACACTGCTTAGGTTTTAATTATTATTAAATCTAAAAGGACTTTTCCATTGCATATTTAATGACATAATAGTAATTTAAGGAAATGTTAGATTTTAATGCTATTTGCTTTTAGAGATTTTACTTCTATGAATAAGTACATGTGTTTGCATGCATGTTTGAAATAGGTGATGTGATATATGATTAATATAATTGGACATTTATGTCATGATCAAATTAGTGGAAGAGTTAATTTAAACAATAATAATTTATTTGAATGATAAATATTTATTAAAGTAATTTTTTTTAAGAATGATAGTTTATTAATTGATAATTTAACGTCAATCAACAATTTCGAAAGAAGATAAAATTAACTTAACAATTGTCTCTTTCAAATTATATATAAAATATTTAAAAAGAAAAAAACAATACTATCATTATATACAATTATTAATATATATTTGAAAATGAAGATAATCATTAATGTAATTATTAATATTTTAATATCTAAATATATGACAAAAAAATTCGTTTAAATGATAAATGAATGTTAAAAAAATTGTTAAAAAATAATAATTTTAGAAGTATTTTTTAACAACTAATTATTTAATAAATACAAAATAATTAATTGCATTCAGTAGTAATAAATATAAAAGTATATTCTTTTAATTATTTTTATTGACTGAAAATTTTATTAATATCTAAATGAGCTTACAAGAAAAATGATTTAATTACAATATCATTAAAACTGTTACTCTGCGTTTTCCAATGTAGTTTTAAACAAATGAAAAGAGACATTTATTTATGTATATGTATAGGATTTTTGTTAATACTAAATGAGGATGTGGGATTTACTTCACACCAAGAGAGAAGTTGAGTGTGTAGCAAGTAGTGCCTAAAATAATATTTAATAGGATGTGTTTGACCCAACACTCATCAAATTCTGCCTTCAACAACTTCCATTAAAACATCTATCCAATAACTTATTTTACTATAATAATAATAATAATAATAATTTTAACTTTCATATTTATTATTATTATTATTAAATTGAATTATATATTAATTATTTCATTAAAAATGGATTGATAAGATATTACTTCTCTCTTATAAATAATATATAATTGTGTAAATGATAATTATTTAATAAAAATTAAGAATAAAAGTTTCAAAACAAACGCGTTATTATATTATTTGGATCTGATAAGACTATTAAGCAATTTTCAAGCGTTATAATTTTTTTAGAAACCATATCATTCTAAAATTAAGCCTATAATAAACTATTATTATGATAAATAATGTTAGAAAATTTTAATTAAGATTTAAATTCATTAATACTAAACAAAGAAGCAAATTAACCAATGAAAGAGATTTTTAATATTAGGTTCATGTAGATTTTTCATTTGATCAAATTAAAATCTCTGTAAGTTTGTAATACAAAATATATGTAAAAGAATGCTTGATTAGATGGTCACACTAAATATAAATATAAATATAAATATATATATATATATATATATATATATATATATATATATAAAATGAGTCATCAAATATTCTATGCTCGTATCCATTCTAACAAGACTTCCTACATTTAGAAGGAGCGCCATAAGTGTCATAACATTCCTCCCAGGACATTAAAATAGCACAACTTAAAAGATAACATTGCTCACAATATTTAATACTTCTAGTCATTCATCCAAATAGGCTATCAAATTGGATCCCGAGTTTCCACACTAATGGGGCAGAAAGACCTACCAAAATTTTAAAACATATATAGGAGTTGGTGTGAAAGAAAAATATGAAACTTTCAATATAGGGTGACTGGCACAATTTGTAAGCAAACGCGCTACAGAAAACTAGTCAAAAGAACATACGAGAACAGAGAAGAAAATTATTTTTGTGTTTTGATGTTGTATCATCTATCTTGCTTAGTTGTCTTTTCTCCCTTGCAAGTTATACTTGGTCCCCTCGCAAATTATCAGTCATATTTATTGCCATAAGTGATACACTACAGGTTGTTTTATTACATCATCTACAACACACATGCAGGTCTCACAAGGAACAGCTAATATCATATTGCAAACGAATCAATCCTCTGGTGTACCCAGCTCAAGCTATATTGATGATTATCTGTAATTTGATGATCACGATTCCATGGCCACCACCATCAACAACATGCAAATTTTCCATGCAGTTACGCATATGCTCATGATGTCACTTATATATTAAATATAAAATGTTCACTGATACTACTACACACCAAAACAGCCTCATATGCCCAACACGCGGCACCCACAGTTCCATTTCCTCAGGTAATTGACCACACTGCAACACTTACTACCTTTGAAATTGCATTCCTTGTCCTCATCCCCTAATGTATTTACTGGTTGAAATTCCTATGCTTAATTTTCCGATTAGATCATATCCTTATACCACCGCCATTCTAGTAGCTTCACCCGTGTTTTATAAATAAGTACACATGTTTTGTTAACATCCATATATATCTTGTATTCTTGTCAAATAAATATTTTCAAGCACGACTAAAAACACCTTTTTCTCATACCGCCAATTCGAAGAAGAAGCAAGTGAGAATCCGCAGGAAACATGGTGGAGATTCAAGAACAAATCAACCCCTTTGATGAAGAAGAAAATGAAGACAAGGAAGAAGAAGAAGATATCGACTATGATCAGCTTAAGAAGAGAATGTGGAAGGATCGGATCCTGTTGCAGAAGCTAAAGGAGAAACGCCCCAAAGAAGAGCCAGACCAAGAAGCAAAAGAAGAAGCATCCAGGCTGAAGAAGATGTCAAGAGCACAAGATGCAATCCTCAAATACATGGTGAAGATTATGGAAGTTTGCAATGCTCAAGGTTTTGTGTATGGGATTATCCCCGAGAAGGGTAAGCCAATGACTGGCTCTTCTGACAGCTTGCGTGAGTGGTGGAAAGAAAAGGTCAGATTTGATCAAACTGCTCCAACTGCCATTGCAAAATTCATGCCACTCCTTGAAATGGATGACATGGATCCAACTTCCTATATACATCTCCTTAATGACTTGCAAGACACTACTTTGAGTTCACTTCTTTCTGCTCTCATGCAACATTGTATACCTCCCCAAAGAAGATTCCCTCTTGAGAGAGGCTTGCCTCCACCGTGGTGGCCAACAGGGACAGAAACTTGGTCGGGTGAACAAGGCCTTTTGGCCCAAGATCATGGCCCACCTCCTTATAGGAAGCCCCATGATCTCAAAAAGGTTTGGAAAGTGTCTCTCTTGGCGGCGGTAATCAAACACATATCTCCTAATTTGGATAAGCTTAGAAGGTTGGTGACTCACTCCAAAACTTTGCAAGACAAGATGACAGCCAAGGACACAGCAACTTGGTCCAAGGTTATGAACCAAGAAGAAGCTCTGTTGCAACTAACCAACAAGTGCCTCAGAATCTCTCTATCAAAGGAAGATGAAAATGAATGTGAAAGCTCCACTAGTACTTCCCACGAAGGGAGTTGTGTAGCTGAGTTGAATGATGACTTCAATTTAGGTGGCATCATTGAGAAAAGGAAGAGTATGATTGACTTAGATGGTACTATTGATAAGCTATATGCTTGTCAATACTATCAGTGTCCACAAAGTGAAACAGGTATGGGATTTCCAGACAAAAACTCAAGGATGAACCATGAGTCCAGTTGTACTTACGGCACAAATCAGAGCCCAGCTCTCCTTCATGATCAAGTGTCCAATGACTCACAAATTACATTCGTGAATGATTGGATGAATATGGAGGTAGCAAGAGCTAATCAGAATAATAATGATCATTTTGGACATCTAAATGATCAACGGAGAGATATTTCAGGACAGTCACCAGAAGATTATGGAGGCTTATGGCTAAATTCCCTTGAAGATCTTGAATCGCACGCTGCACTGGATCAGATGGACATGCACTTGAGTCAAAATCCGGAGCAAGATACACCACAAGGCCAAGAAATAACCTCAATTTGGGACTTAACCTACAAATAGGTTCCTTGGGTCATGTTTGGATCGCACACCATTATATTTATACTAATTAATTAGAGATTAATTATTTAAATATTAATTAGTAAGACATTGTCTCCTTATGCAACAAAAGATAGCCTTTAGCTTTGTACAAATACTACTAGTTCTTCTTCTTAATTTCATGTTTGGCCACAATGAATAGTTCAACTCTATTTACATTGATCTCTAAATGTAATAACAAAGATAGCAGTCACTTCTTAGCCACTTGTATTTTACTCTTATATTGTTAGGACTCTAATAACTAGCTATAGTCACCTTGGTGAGTGCGGGGACAAAATAGGAAGGAAATAAAGAGAGGTGCCAAACCATTCTTCTATAGAGCCTAAGGAAATATACAAGCTTCATTTGAGGCTTAAATTATTAATCGTAGAAACTATGCCTTTGGGGTATGAAGTCTTCGTATTCAACTCTTGGGCTTGTGTAGGAATAACCCTTCCTAAACCTGTTGCTTCTGCTTCTTACTTCCACATCCACAGAAAAGACAGCACAAACAGGTCTGTGGTCAGAAAACCTTGACTCTCCTCGGATATATGATAATTGGTCAATGCCATTGCCACGCCATAATATCCTATCACACCTGACAATTATGCAAATGAAGAGAGCATTGTCAACGACTTAGGTACATTTGTATTGAAAACTAAAAAGCCAACCAGCTAGCACCTCTCATTTAATTGACCTTTTTATAACATATTATAAGAGCCAAGAGACGTGCAATACCATGCAGGTGTTCGACGTTTTTTCTTTGATTTGACAGTCTCACCAGCATAAGAGTCTGAATTCTGTGAATACTTGTAAGTTGGAGCAAAAACAATCCTCCCCTCTTTGAAACCGTTAAAAACCCTTCCTGCGTCTCTTTCCATGTTTAACTGTACAAAATAAAACACTAGTCAATAAATTTTACCTATCAATAATACACAGTACTAAACAAATTCATATATTAAGAAATCAAAAACTAGTTGTTCGACTTGTACTGGTAAACATAAATAAGCTTTGTTTAATAAAAGTTCAATCATGAGAGTCAACATTGTAGATTTGTAATGATAACATGGTAATGTACCAATAACATACTAACTATTGTATTGATAGAATATGAATGGATATGGATGGACACACCTGATCTTTCTCTAACAAAGTGTCCCAGTCGTTATCCTCCAACAGAACCCGTGTTTCTTCGTAACTCAAAGCCACCCGATAATTCAAATCTCCTAGCCATATTATTCGACTGCAGAAGGCTAGAAGTGATTAGAATTTACGATGACAAGTTCAAATTATGTGTTGCATAAAAATTATATCAACTCAAAAGTCAAATATCTGGGATAACAACTCACTCATGGTCAACTATCTTTTCTGGCACTCGACGGCAAGGATTTGGATTCTTACAAATCCTAGGGAATTGTGTGCTTTTGAGAATCTCAGCTACATCGGAATTTCTCTTCAACTCGTCGCCGTCTTTCTCCCCAGAAGCCAAGTGACTACAGACGAAACAAAAACTTGTTTGATGTAATGACATGCTCATTGATATACAACCCTGCAATCAATTATTGATTCCATATGGAAGTATTAGTGGCTATGCAACATGTTATATGTATTTATTAAGAACTCATTTTTGGAATTATCTATAGCATAAGTACTTGTCTAAATGTTTGGAAGAACTACAGAAACTAATTGTCTATTAGATGTTTTCAACAAACTAAATAGGATAGCTTCTGAAAACAACTTACATGAAAACAATGTGTGAGCTTACCTTGTTACCTAAGCAACCCATGATCCCTCTCCCAACAGAATCTGCTCTAAGATGTCCAATGTGTGGCACTAATTCCTTCTTAGTCCATATGGTGAGAAAAATCCCAACCATTTGCTTACTTAATATAAGGGAGTATCTGCTTTGGCTAGGAGAAGAGGGTATTTCTGTAATTGCAAGCAACTCTTCCATGGTGTCATCACCACGAAGCTCAGCCTCTAACTTATTCATAGGGTCACTAAACTTTCTTATCCTTCGTCTCTCCCTGGGACAATTGCAGGCCTTAAGGAGGCTGCTACTCTCTGCCCTGAAGTTTTTACTGATAACTTTAAGAGAAGGCTTCTGGAAGAAATTCAAACTTGCCGGGGACTTTGAATCCTTCGACCCACTCTGGGTTTTGGAACTACTTCCTGAGTCAGATGAATCGCTATATTCATTTCTTGGTCTGTTTAGTGCTTGACTTATCAATGCCAACCACTTCGCAGCAGGTTCATTGTCTTCTATTACTAAAACATTCCCAGCACTCAAAGGAACAATTTCCTGGAAACTGAATAAATAAAATATTTCATGGAACATGAATTTGTAATAATTTTAATAGAAAACAACGGAAAGAAGCAAAACCATTCAAACAGACAGAGCATAATGATCTATGAATTTCCATGTACAATTTTCTTTCTTAACAATAACTAATATGACGAAAATTTTGATTATGTTATCTTTATTCTTCAGATCAGTATCTAGCTAAATAGTAATTTATTTCTCCACAATTTTTCTCATCATTAACTTTCTTAATGTCAGAAAAACTAGACTAGCAAAAGTTGACTGTAAATCATGGAAACAAATCAGTACTAATACAACAAATCACTGTTCCTCATTGCATTTTCGTACCCCAAGACATATATATCTGCGGAGCCCTCCACTAACAAGAAATCTTGAAGGTTGAGGTCATAATTTGGTGACTTTCCTCCCACATTCCACGTTGCAACAAAGATCCTGCAATCCACGTTACCAAATGGCATGACATGAAAGCAAGGATTGCTTGTGAGTTTGACTACAGTAGGCAACAGAACAAATGTGAATGAAGCCTTGATGAATTGAAAACGAAATCCCACGTACCTGAAACTCTGAAGTTCAGTTTCCGGAGACATCACAGGCCGTTCAAAATTACACAAATTTAGGCCTTCGATCCCAGGGCTAGTCTCCCTTTCTGTGAGTAGATAAGAAATCAAAACAATGGTTTATTTTTTTCATCTTGCCACTTGCTGACAAATCTATAATTGCACCCGGTGTACATTGCATCAGTTAGAGGTTAAGGTGTATATCAAACAAGAAAAATAGTTTTTCATATCTATGCTCTTCCCAGGATTAGAAAACATCTCACCAATAACCAAATTTTCATTGTTGTTAGGTAAGCTACCATAATAATACAAGATGACATGAATAAGATTTCTTCTTGTTTGATAGGTACGTTGATTTTTACAAGTTAGGTCCAGAATCTAGGGTTGACTTACCATTTTCTCAATCTATACTAAAGCCGCAATTTTGGATATATTGATATTAATAACATTTTGTATTCACTCTGGATTTATATATAAACAAAATTAATTAATTTCACATTTATTCTTAGAATTGAATATAAGGATATTTTTGAAATAACATCATTAAAGAGAGTTTAGAAAGTTAGAATTTATTTATATTTGAATTCAATAAACATAATATTTTCTTGCTTTATGTATGATTATATAGAGGGAGTTGTAAATAAATTGTAATTAAAGAAATTATGTTGTCTCAATCGTACCTGAGAAACTTTTTCTCATGACGGGGGCTGCTTCCATAAATGCTTTTCTTCTTGTCTCAATCCTCTCCAAATCTTTCCACACAAAACGTACATAAGTAAAATTAATTAAAGGGAAACAATTATAAATGGAAACTTAGATTTTCTATGGAAACAGAGAAGAGAAGTCAATTACCAAGACTCATTCCATCTCCTTCTTCCCCGCCTGGTTTGACTGCTTCTTCGTCTGAGTTTCTCCCATTTCGCTTTGATCCAAAAATCTTTGGAAGGAGAGACTTCACCCCAAACAAAATGACCAAGGGTCAAGAAAAATGTAGCGTACCCTTTACATTTAAACACAAGATAAATGTAATGCACGAAAAAAAAAACCTTCTTTTTCTTCTCATTTTTGTTCTCATTCTTGTGCTCGTTCTTGTGCTCGTTCTTGTTCTCGCTCTTGGGCTCGTTCTTGCTCTCGCTCTTGTGTTCGTTCTTCTGCTCGTTCTTGTTCTCGCTCTTGTGTTCGTTCTTGTGCTCGTTTTTGCCACTAGTATCTGGCAAATTCGATGTAATGGTTGTGTTGACAACATGGTTGTCGGTATTGTCATTAGCTTTGATCATTTCAGAGTTAGCATTTGATTTAGAACGTGCACCCGTAGACGAAGACATTCATTCATTCGTATTTGCAACATGCCCTTAATATGATCTTTAGATCATCATATCTACAAGTACAATACTGGGAAAACAATAATAAAGTGAGCATGAATTCTTGTTCTCGTAAAAATGTTTGTTTTGGACTCTTTTTTCTATTGAAATTTTTGTTTCATGATTGAGAGAGATTATTGAATATGTTTTTCTGTGTTGTACATTTTTTTTGGTTTTGAAAGGATGAGATTTTGTGGGCAGAGCTTTCGGGAATACTTAAGGTTGAGGGTGATAGAGAACCAAAAAGAGGCATGAAACGGTTGAGTAACTATGCAAAAAATAAGCCAAAAAACTACACACATTGGATGTGTTGTCAGCATGGCTACAACACCATCATCAGACATTTGTTGGCAATACTGAAGGAAAAAACAGAAAGTGGTTAAAGAACGGAAAAAAATTGGGTACATCTAAAATATGTAATTTTGTACTAAGCCTTGGGAGAACCAATTTCTTACAATATATTTTGAAGCAAAATTTGTAGAATTGGACCGGGTTCAAAATTTTAAGGTGGATGTGGATTTAATAAAATAATATTTTTCTAATTAATAAATTTATTAATAATAATATTTTTTATGAAATGAAAGAAAAATAATAAAAATTATTGTTAAGATATTTTAAATTATAATAAAAATTATAAATATAAAATATATTAAAAAAATATAAAATGAATAATTATTAAAATAAGATAAAAATATAATAAAATAATTATTATTTAAATATTCACGTGAGATAAAAAAAAGTAAAAAATTAAAATATATTATATCTTTTATAAAAAAATTATTCTTAAATATTTTTTTATTATTAAAATTGGTTCGATCCAAAAATCTAACCAATTTTGTTTTGATTTTTATAATTTTGTCTCGGGTTCAGTTAAAATCCAATTATTTGGAAGTAATAGGTTAATTCTTAATTTGGTCTCTGATTCAACCAATTGAATCAACTTGGTCTAATTTGTTACAAAATGTGAATGTCTAAACACATCTAAGAGAGGGAGTGAATTGGATTTTTAAATCCATCTCAAATATAATCAATTATTTAAAAATAGTTTTCTAATAATCATATTTAAAAAATTAGAATAGTATTAACATCACAAGAATATCAAGATAAATGAAAGAAAAAAAGAACACAAAAGTTTATACTAGTTCGATTCTTTTGAATCTACATTCAGTCTAACAAAGTAACCTTAACTTGGATTTTTCATTAAAACTTGTCTAGTAACCAGATTACAACCTAATATATAAATCCTGATTACAATAATCTTTAATCAAGATCTAAAAACAAACCAAAACACTTGAAAATGTTTATCCTCACAATTTTTAAGCCAATTTGATATAGTTCACCTCACATACATCAAAATATAATAAAAATTCACAAAGAAAAAGACAAGAACGATTTCATCTTAGACTTTTGGAATACTACATTCTATAGCCAAATAATTTCTTCTTTGAGCTTGATTTTCTTCAAAACGTTTTACAAAATCACATATGTTTTCTTGATTCTCACAACGTTCTTTCTAATGCTTTAATCGTTTTTAAAATATGTATTTAATTAAAGAAAGTTTACATCCTATAAAGTAAAAATGTGTTGCAATCTGATTCAGATAATCGATTAACGTAAAATTTAATCGATTATTTATGTGCAGATGATAGACTAAAAATAAGTCATATAATTGATTAGATACCAACATAATTAATTATTAGTGCTTTATATCAAAATAGAGATTTAGTTAATGACCACATAATCCATTATTAGCGTGTAATATGAAAACATGAATTTAAGTCATATAGTCAATTAATTGTTTATCTAATCAATTAATACAGATTAATTATAATTTTAACTTTTTACTTTCTTTATTTAACAACCTTCTTTGTTTTAACAAATATTAGATCATTTAGTTTTACACTCACACAAGTACTTAGCTATTTTATAAAAATATTATCAAAAAGTTATTTTTTTAATCAATCTTCCTTCTTCATTAACATGATTCGATTTTCAAAATAATATTTTTAAAGATGTTATTGTTAAAAAAATTATTTTTACAAACACATTTAGATTAAATTTAGTAATTTTAAAAAATATATATTTAACTAAAAACTAAAATATAAAAGTTATAGAATAAATATAGAAGAGTGAAGTGAGAATGGATAATCATGCTAGAAAATACCTTTTATTTTCATTGAAATGCTATATTTACCCTTCTTCATGGAAATAAGAAGCAAAACAACAGTGAGTTATTATTCATTCTTAGGGATCAACAATACCTCGAAAGGTTTTTCTAAGGCATACTAATTATGAAAAATTGATATTTTCATTTTTTTTTGTATGATTTGTATTAGTCGTGCTCGTGTCGAGAGAGAGCAATTCATAGCTTTTTCTTTTGATTTCTAAAAATACATTTTTTTTCTTAGAGAGATGAAATATTCTATGATTATTACATATTAATAAATAACTCTTTTATAACAGTATACAACTATACTTGAGCATGTCACTTATATTTATCATTTCTGAACTATTTTTTTGGTATTGCTGATTTGAAGATTTAAAGAAGAGAAACTGAAGTTTAATTATTATTTTAGTTTATTTATATTAGTATAATAAATTTTTCCCCCTTCTTTGTCATTGTCTTGCCAACACGTCCGTCCTGGAGTTCATCGCCACGAATGCCTCTCCTTCCAGCAGTTGCTCTCCGTGCTCCGGCTCTACCATCGCAAAATAAATTGAAGTCTTAAAACTAATTATTAGACGAAATAGATAAGATTTAGGGTAATCTGAATACCCACACGTTACAAGATTGATAATAAAGTTGTTAGTTAGGTAAGATAGGAAATGGTTGAACTTTATTTTTAGTATTAAAATAGTTTACCCAAACTCACGTCACTTTCCTAATCACTTGATGCGTGTCACTATATATCTATACTAACAAAAAACTAAATAAATAAAGAACCGGAAACAAATCTAATAATATTTATTTATTCTGCCAACAAATTCATAATATTCATGGAGATTACAGACATATTAACATTAAAAATAACTATGTAAGTCCTAACATGGCAGCTATACCTATAAGTTCGCTTCCATTCAGACAAAAAAACAAGTCTTCGACTTTTACATTAGCACTAGTCCTGTTTTCAGTCTCTAACCAAAATTGTGCCGGGGCTACTCGATTTGCTACAATGCAGAGGATTTTCAGGGCTCCCATGTTTTACCATGCAGTTCACAGATTTGAAATTGTTACGGTTTGGTCAATTCTTTCCGATATGTAGAGAATGTTATATCAATAGAATAGCCAAACCCAGAAAGCCATCCACCAAAATGAATATCGACAATTATACATGAGTATACTCAGTGATCAACATTCAATTTATCAATCAAGTTTTTTGGAAGTTGTATACATTGAATAACTAGCACACAAAATATAAATCATCACCGGTATCGTAGCATACCATTTTGATCTTTCAAAAAGCGGGATCATTCACAAGGAGACATTTCATCCAACTGCTGTCTGTAAACAGATAAACTCTGTACATACAAATGACAACATACAACATGGCTAGTATCAGATAGGTTCACGACAAACAAAATAAAAAATAGTTAAAAACACGGTCTAATAACTATCAAATAAGAAGAGATAACAAATTCAGAAAAAATATTACATTTTTCCCTCTATACTCTGAACCCTAAACCCAACTATTATTAGCTGTTAATTGGACAACAACCAAATATCAAAACTCGCTGAACCCAGAAGGAAATGGATTGAAGGTTTTTCATTAGACTATATAATCTCTTTTAGACACAACTAGGTTCATGGTTATATATCTCATCAAGAAGAATCCAGGGAAAATCTGCTAGCAAATAGAAATATTCTAAAGTTTAACACACAAACAGTAAAGAGAAGCAGCAAAATTTAAGAGGAACTATAGTACATGACATTGCCTAGAGCATCTTACAAAATTTAGGAGCACCGATATGAAATAAAGACATCACACAAAATAAGGCATTAGACTAATCTAGGTTGAACTGGGAATGATCACCATGAACAATAAAACTCTTCATTCATGTTTTTAGTTCAGTAGCATTCCAATGTACTCAGACTCAGGTTTAAGACCCCTACTATGCTAGAGCCACCCACTAGCTAATCTATGTGCTCGGTGGTAATGGGAGAAATCATTATTTTCTATGTGTGAACATTCAATATTTAATTATAATTTCACATTGTTAAGATATAAAGTTTCAAGCTTCCTATCCAAAAATCACCATAGAAAAAATTGTCAAGGATGGATTGAATGGGAAGTGAAAGGTCACTTTTTCAAATTTATATGCAGACTGATTTTTTATATATTAAAAATAAATGCTGTAGTCGTAACCCATTAACATAATTATAAAATGATGCATGTCAAGTTCGTTACTTTTGCCCCTCCATACAATTATCCATCCCTGTTTGTTGTGTTATGGCATTGATTTTTTTTGCTTGAACTCGTGCGTGGAGATGATTTCCACTTCTCAAACAAAAACTAACCATGAAATGGAGCGACTCGAGACTTGTGATATGCGAGTCTTGGTAAGGTTCCATATAAACAAACAATCATAAAACAAGCACCTAGGTAGCAATGGGAGATGCGAGACCTTGTGGAGGATTGACCCTCTGATGTCAATCCAAATCGTAAAGGTTTGGTCATTCTCAACTAAGCTATGCGTTCATTGGCAAATGTTTCGCATTAGCACATAAATTAGTTCCTATGACGACAGGAAGAAATAGAATAATAACAATAAAACTACAAAATTTGAGCAATTTTGCAGATCATATATACAAGTGATGGTTAGCCAACAGGAAAAAAGGAATAAGTCCAAAAACCCTCACATAGCATTGATCCCTCATTAATTTGAGTCATTCAGTGTTAATTTCATTTCACCAATAACACCAGGTAAATAAATATCAGCAAAGGAATCACACCTGAGTGTATGCATAAACACCAGCTTCTGTAGGCCCCACGGGACTTCCTCTATTCATAAACTTCCCCTCTTTGTATATGTACAGCAACGGTATCCCAGTTGATAATTCTAAACTAGTGACCTGTTTGTCCACAGACAAGTAAAGTTCAATCCCTTTCCTGTTTTATTTGATACCAAAGAAAATTCAAGATAAATGAGATGGATGCATTCCTAAGAACTGCAGGATGCTACCTCTTGAGAGGTTAATCTTTCAAGATACATTATAATGGACCTCAATGAGTTTCCGTGAGCAGCAACCATCACGTGCTTTCCTGATTTCAGTTGAGGTTCAATCTACAACACATTCTTTTTAGTATCATCTCTCGGAGTAATTTAAAATGTTTCCAATATAAAACTTTGACACCAAAGAAGAAGGTAAATAACACCCTTACAAAATCTTTAAAATACGCAACAGCTCTCTTTGAACACATTTCCAGGCTCTCGCCCTTGGGAGGAGGAATGTCAAAACTCCGACGCCATTCATGCACCTTCTCATGCCCATATCTTTCTGCAGTCTCCTGCTTATTAAGACCCTGTAACTCCCCATACCTGAAGTAGTAGAGTAAAGAAGGATAAGCTATCCTTCTAAAATTCATTGACCATATCCAATGTACAGGAAACAGTGGCAGGGATTAATAGCTGCATACATTCTTTCATTCAACTCCCAAGCAGTAATAACTGGAATAGATTGCTTGGTGGTTTTGTCGCTGTAAACTTGAGTCCAAGTTGTTGCCTCTTCACTCTCATTATGGATGATAATAGGAACCTATACAGTAAAGATTAGGTTAAAAAACTCAGGTTCTAAAAATATTTTACAGGTATCCAAAATACCAGAATTTATTGGCATTTTTTACGGTTAGCATACTTTTTCAACATTTCAGGAAAAGACGTACAGTTGAGATCCCTAATATGTAGAACAGAATAGATAATAGTTTTCCCAACAAGTAGACCAAAGCAAGTGGTTGTTTAAAAAAGTTATGGCATGTATTGTTAAACTTACACTGACTGTTTTGGTCATAGAAACCACTGCTTCTATTTAGCCATAGCATTTTTCAACGTACAGAATCTTCACCAAGCAAGTAACAAGTAATTTCAGTATTAAGAGGTGTGACTACCTTCTTCTGGTGGTGCTGAGTCATTGCAAGCATAGCCGTCATCTGTGCTCGAATCAGTGCAGACGTGAAAATCATATCAACCGGTATATAGGTAATCCTCTTACCAGCTTCAATGGCTTCCTCTACACCTCTCTTGGTCAACGGCACATCGCAACATCCGGTGAACAAGTTCTTCTCATTCCACAAAGACTCCCCATGACGAATCAATATCAAAGTACTCTCAACTATAAAACAAACAAGGTCACAACACCCACCAATAAGAAAACAAAGCACAGGATCGTTCAGTTTTATTCAGTAATCAAAACACATAGTTCACATTTTGAATAACAATAATCCATATATGCGGTAATATCAAAATTAGTTCGTTGAGTTAGTTGTTGGCCACTCTCAAATTATTATACACCTTTCAGTATACTGGCGCTTACGGAATATCAAACATGCATATAACTTTGAATATTATGAGTTAACAAGAAAGAAAAAATTAAGAGGACAAATTCCTACTTGATGATTCGTGGGAAACGGAGAGTGATGTAGGATCAACGAAAGAGGCGTGAGAAATAGATGCATGTACGTGATGCAATTTATCGTAGCGCGTGTTGCAGGCGAATCGCATTGAGTAGAACCTTACAAAGTTTCTAGAAGATCGAGGGGTGGAGGCATCAATGCCCCAACCGTGAAGTCCCGTCGTAGGTGGGCATTTGAAAGTAGCAGCCATCATTCTGAAAGAAGAAAACACCTATTGAAATTTCCACACCGTGAAGAAAGATCGAGGAATGGAAATAATAATAATATTAACAGCGAAACCAAATGCAGAAAAGAAAGATACTGACAAGGGTGGCGCAAGGCGTAGAGGGAGGGGAGTTAGCAGAAATTTAAAACGGGATTTGGAGAAAGAAGAAGACAATAAATTGACAGTGTCATAGTGAGATTTGAAAATGACCCCAAACCAAAGACAGAACAAGAGCGAGCCAGGGTTGGGAGGCGAGAGTACGACGCCGTTTCCATGTTGACAATGGGCGACCAATCCAAAATTGTGTGACGCACTTTTTATAGATAAACTATTTATTATTTTTATATTTTTTTCTTTATAAATACCAAAGTGTATGCATTGTTAGGCGTGGCGTGCGGGTCTTGTCTCTCTGATCGTTATTTCTGACCTTTTTTTATTATTTCCATTCTAGTTGCTGATCCGGTCACGTTAGAACCCCTCTTTCTTCTGGTTTTGGATTCCTCGCCCCTATCCCATTTATATTATTTTTAAAAAAATAATTATATTTATAATAAATTAATATTATATTTATAATTTATAATTATTATTAATTAAATATACATTTTAATTTATTATATTTATATTAAAATATATATGTAAAAGAAATATTTAATCATTTTTTTATTTATAACATTATTATTATTATTATAATACTGTATTTTTTTATTTATAACATTATTATTATTATTATAATACTATATTTAAATATTTGAATACTTATAACATTATTATTATAATACTGTATTCAAACATTTGATTATATATATATATATAAAAGTTAATTCATTTTTAACTTATATATATATAAAAGTTAATTCATTTTTAAGTTATCATTTAAAAATATGAAATATATAGTTTATAAGGAAATATTTATTAAGTTAATTATTATTCAATTAGTTCAAAGTAATAAAAGTTTAAATTATCAATTCCTTTAATCCTTTAAAATACAATTATTTTATTAAGATAAAATTTGATATATGATAAATAAGAATAATAAGATAAAAAATGACATAATAAAACATAATAAATATAAATTATAAATAAAATAATATTAGTTACTACTAAGATTTATGTAAAATATTTAGAAAAAGATAAAGAATAAAAAAATTAACTTTGTGTTCATCAAATTGATTGAAAAGATTGAAAAAAAAAACAAATTGATGGGAGAGATTAAGGAAAGGTGAAAAACTGAAAAGTAAAAGAGAGAATAATGTAATAAATTAATTGATATAAAAGATTAAAAAAGACAAAAAAATTAAAAAATAGATAGAAGAAAAATAAAAATTGATGAAATATAAAAAAAGTACCTTATATATAATAAAAAAAGAAAAGAAAATATTTTTAAAGTATTAATATTTTAAAATTTAAATATAAAGTCGTGACTGAATCGAAGTCGCAGTGGGATTGCATTACACATCCCGTCCCCAATCAACTCTGATTTTCTCTATCAAACTCTGGATGAAGACGGCTCGGCTTTTTACGGAAGGGGTTTAATTGTCGTACCTATTATTATTTCAAAATACTATTTGGAAAAATAAATAATCAAAACTTCGAAAGTCATAATTAAAAAAAAACTTTGTTTACACATTTCTAATTTCTTTTCAATATAAGAATTATTATTAACTAAAAATTATGAATATCGATTTTAATTTATTGAGTTGTTTCAATAATGTTTAACTGATACTAAAAATGATAAAAAAATATAAATTAAACTAAAATGATATTTTTTAAACAAATAAACAATGTTAATAATACATAATAAAATATTAAAAACATTTGTGTCACTGAGAATCTTCTCTATTTTTCATGAATATAATAATGGAACATAAAGTCCACATAGACCACTCATGAATCATGACTCAACGTCAAGAATATTTTTGGGCTCACGGGCCTCGGGCTTTGTAGCTTAACACTGTACGTCTCTATTTCTTTGTTGTGATAATACAATTTAGTTTAAATGTTAAATTATTGGTTTCTTCTTCTTCTTCTTTTTTTTTTTTTTTCTCTGTGCATATATTTAAAATTTTAGATAAATTTCATTCATATATTATTGAATGTATGTATAGACACTTTTCTCAGTAAAGTTTCAAATTTCGATTCGTCCTATTATAGAAATTTAGACTCAATTTTCACTTTACCATTGCCAATATTACATCCTTCTAATATATTTTACCTTTTTTGATAAAAAAAATTAAATTATTATTTTATTATAATAATTTAGAGTTTAATTTTTTTTTAACTGAGACTCAAGATAAAATATGGCCCCCAAGTACAATACACAAGTTTTAATACATTACAGAGAGTTATATATATATATATATATATATATATATATATATATATATATATATATATATATATATATATATATATATATATATATAAATATGCACTGCACTTTATTAATTAGATAAATTGTTATATATTAAAAGAGAAACATATATTATTTTGTTCTATTTGTGTAATAGACGTTTTCTCTCTAATGAAATATTTTATATGACTCAACCCAAATTATCTCTAATTCTTTGTTATTGTTTTATTTTATTCTGATATTTATTGTTATAAATATTGTTTAAATTAACTTATATCATTTTTACTTTATTTGATATTTTATTCTTATTATTTTATATTTACTCTTTAATAATTAATGACTACTATTTTCTTATATTATTATCACAGTTTTATTAATATTAAGAAAAAAATTAAATTTTCATAATGATATTACTTAAGCTCATATAAATAGTTAAAATTAAAATTAATCTAATTTAATTTAAGTCATACTAACTTTATCCTAATCTAATTCATTTATCCAACTTTTAAATCACAGATAACTTATTTTAATATAATAATAATAATAATCACAGATAACTTTTAAATCACATATTATATTTTTTATCCGCTTGTGGTTTTTTAAAGGGTGATGATTGATTTGGAAAAGTAAAAATGATTAGACAGGAAAAAGAGAGTAAAACCCAACATTATTCTTTCAAAACTTTTGAGGAAAAACTTAAAATAATGTGTATATAAAACTGATTTGTTTGAACTTAAAAGTAAATTAAATGTTAAAAAAAAACACATTGTGCTCTTCATATTTTTATTTAAACCAACAAAATTATTTTTTTATTATCTGAATATAAAAGAAAAAGTAAAACGACATCCACCTAGACAAGGTGCCAAAATCACTTTTTGAGGAAGTTGGGAAGTTAAGTGGGGTTCTGCAGTTCGGTTCACTGTGGGGTCACGAGTTAAAATATAAACAATTATCCATAAAAATCGGTAATTTATATTAAAATATTTATATTTTTAATTTTTTAAATATGTTTATTTTTTTAATATATAAATCATAATAAATATTTTCATTTTGTATATAATTAATTTTATATATTTTTTCAACTCTTTAAATATATTTTTTTATTTTTAATATTTTTATAAATTTTTAATGTATAAATCATACTAATTCTTTTTTTTAATTATAATATTTTCTTTTTCTTTTTCTTTTAATTTATTTACTCATTTACCTCCAATAAACTTGAGAATGAGTATAGTGTTATACATTATGCCACATTCTTGAAAAATAAACACACTTACATGTTCAATAGGTTAATAGAAACTAATATACAAATCTTTAAATAATGAATTTTAAATAAATCAATACAAAATTAAAAAAAATAAAATAATAAAATAAAAAATATCTAATATTTTGGATGAAATTGAAATCGTTAAAAATAAAATAAAATTAAAGATTCATTTTTAAAAATATAATTTTTTTATTTAGCTTATATTAATCATATCAATTTAAAATAATTATTATTGTATTGTATTAGTTTATTTTAATTATTTTTCTTATTTTGTTTTATAATATAATTTATATTTATAATTTTGACTATAATTTATGGTGATCATAATAATATTTGTTTAAATTATTATCTTATAAATTTTTTTCATTGATTCATTAATTGGGTTTTTAAAACATTAATTTATACATCATCCATATATAATACTAACATTTACTAATTTTATTAAGAATTCTGATTGAATATTTTAAATAAATATATTTTCTATCATAGTTTTCATTTAGTTTATTAAAACTTAAACCTAATTTCACTTCTAATAACAATGTTTTAATGATACGTTTTTCCATTTTATTTTGAAACGTTGTCTAAAAACACATAAAGAGTATATTCAACTTATGATGTTTAACACATTTTCATTTAAAACAAGACTTATTGTGTTAGGTAACTTTTAAACAACAATATATTTTTTTTAAGATAAACTTGAATGATAATTTTTATAAGTGCACATATTTTTATTTATATTTGACATTTTGAAACTTAATAATAATTTAATTATTATAATAAATATTACTTTAATATAATATTTTAACATCAAAATTATTTTATAAAATCATATATTTATTTTAATAGTATAAAAATATTATCTATTAAAAAGAAAAGAATTTACTTATAACAGAAAAATTACATTAATCTTCATAAAAAAATAGTATATTATAAAATTTGATCATATAAGAGAAAATTAAATAGTTTATATAAAAATATTTTTTTCACATTATTATTATCAAATAATTATTTCTTCAGATAATAGTAATGTTTTAATATATTGATGTCATATTATTTATATATATATATATTAATTTATTTATCAACGTATTATTTTTAATTATAAATTTATGAAAGTTCACAATAAAAAAGTATATTTATAATTATAATTAAATATTAATTTATATATATATATATATATATATATATTAATTTTCAATATTTTAGAATAAAAATTTAAAAATTAAATTTTAATAATTTTTAAATTTTAAATTTAATGAAATTAAAAAAGCTATATATTTTAAATTTTAATAATTTTAAATTTAATGAAATTTAAAAAAACAATATTTTTAAAATTTTTAAAATAATTAAAAAATAAATAATTAGTTAAAA